GTTCGCTGTGTCGAGGTCCCAGAAATTGAATTCTGGCACGGATCTGCAGCGAAAAGACGCAGCAGTCAGGTTGATAAGTGGCGTCAAAATCCCGAAAACAATGTTTTGGCACGCTTCAAAATCTTCAAGCTGTTATCTTCCAGCGGGGCAATTCCCCCAATGGGAATGAACCGTTGTAGGGGTCTATGGAGAAGGAGAGCTTGGAGGGAGGGTTAATTCCAACATCGTTGATGACTCTAGGGTTTCCACTGGCCTCCTCCTCCTTCTGCTCGTCCTCCTTCTCCATTTCCTCCTCCTCCTCCTCCTCCACCTCCTCCTCGTATGGTATGCCCGATCCGGTTTTATTCAGTGGTGCTACTATATGATATGCTGTGCTGTCGACGGGGCGGCGTGGCGCCCTGACGCCTGCGTCGTCCGATCGGTCGCTGCTGCGCCTGATTGTGGCTGGGCCGATCTCGGTGCGCACGGCGCCATTGGTCATGTTATGGTACGGCGTTATGGTACGGCCTATTATGTCATGAAGACCACTTCGAACTTCAAACACTACTCGGTTGAAGTATGTTTTGTCATGCTCACCTCTGTCATTGCATGCTTTGCGATGAGATGCTATGCTTTGCTCCGTGGCGATACGCTACGAAATGCTTCGTATGCTCTGTTAGGGTCGCTAATTTTATGTTATTACCCGTGGTGATATTCAAGGTATGCTCTGTTCGATCTCAAAGTGAGGGGGCCGAACGGTCATTTACTGTCCCTGGGTGCGTGCCTGAACTGAGATTCCGCGGTGCGGATGTTTGATTCGTTTTTTTTGCCGGAGAATAATTACACCGGACTCACTTCTATAGCGCTCACTTCTATAGTGCTCACTTTGAAATTGTGGTCCGGAAGGGGCCGCACATGCAGGCACATGCCGCGCAGTCGCATGCACATGCCCATGCAAATATACAAAAGCCTCAACAGCATTGCCGCACATGCGCGCACATGCCACACCGTCCGACGCACAGTCGAATGCACGGTCAAGCAAAACTCTGAAAGCATAGACGCACATGCCCGCACATGCCGCAGAGATGTCGCAGGCGATAGTGGCCTGACCACCTGAGCTCGGGGCATTTCGCAACCCAGAGTTCCGAGGATGTCTCAGGCAAGCGTGGCCGGATCACCATGGGGCAGGGCATCTTGGAAACCAGAGTGGCGAGGATGTCGCTGGTCAAGGTGACCAGACGACCATGGGGCAGGACACCTCCGAGGTCTGAGTTGTGAGGATGTCTCAAGCGAAAGTGGCCTGACCACCATGGGGCAAGAGATCTCTGAGGTCAGAGTTGCGAGGATGTCTCTGGGGAGAGTGGTCTGACCACCTCAGCCCAGGGCATCTCGGAGCCCAGAGTTGCGAGGATGTCTCAGGCAGGACTGGCCTGACCACCTGCTCAGGGCATCTCAGAACCCAGAGTTGCGAGGGTCTCAGGCGAAAAAGGCCGAGACACTATGGAGCAGGGCATCATTGAGGTCAGAGTTGCGAGGATGTCTCAGGCAAAAGTGGCCTGAACAGCTCAACTCAGGGCATCTCGGGCGAGGATGTCTAAAGCGAAAGTGGTCTAACCACCTCAGCTCAGGGCGTCTCGGAACCCAGAGTTCCGAGGATGTCTCAGGCGAAAGGGGCCGAGACACTATCGAGCAGGGCATCATTGAGATCAGGGTTGCGAGGATGTCTCAGGCGACAGTGGCTGACCACCTCAGCTCGGGGCATATCGGAATCGAGACTTGCGAGGATGTCTCAGGCGACCGTGGCCTGACCAGCATGGGGCAGGAGATCTCTGAGGTCAGAGTTGCGAGGATGTCTCAGGCGAAAGTGGTCTAACCACCTCAGCTCAGGGCGTCTCGAAACCCAGAGTCCCGAGGATGTCTCAAGCGAAAGTGGCCGGGCCACCATGGGGCAGGGCATCTCCGAGACCAGAGTTGCGAGGATGTCTCAGGCGAAGGTGGCCAGATCACTTCATGTCAAAGCACGTCGGCCTCCAGATTGCCGACGACGTCTCACGCGGAACTGGCCGGACGCGAACGCGCCGGCGTCCGGAGACGAACGCCGGCCCCGGCATTCTTGCACGTCCCGCACATGCACTGCACAGGTACGCACAGTATTCGCACAGGCCGGGCTCGCCGGTGGCCGAGCCAGGCCAGCGATTCCGAGATTCCCTGAGCTCGGGCCGTCAAGCCGCTTTCGCCTGAGACATCCTCGCAACTCTCACCTCCTCCTCGTCCTCCTCCTCTTCCTCCTCCTCCTCCTCCTCCTCCTCCTCCTTCTCCTCTGGCCGAGCCGAACAGGCAGGCGGGCCGGCCGAGCCGGGGGCGCCCGCCTCCTCCGCCCCCCCCTCCTCCCCCCTTCCACCTCTCCCCCCCCCATCCCTGCTTCTCCGGCCGAGCTGAGAAGGCGCGCGGGAGAGTATTTTATTAGGCGGGCGCGCCACCGCCAGCTCACGAACCGGGCGAAGAACCGCCCCCGCCAGCAGCGGGCGAGTCTAAACGCACAACAAACTCTTTCAGGAAGCCCTGGCACGCCCCAGGTTAGCTCTGCGAAGGCCAGGAGGCATTGGAGGCACAGGGGTCCCAGACAGCTCCTAGGGCATGAGCGTGCATGTGCATTGGGATGTGCACGCATGTGCGCCCGCGCGCTTCACCGCATGTGCGTGCATGTGCGGGCCCGCGCGGCCTCCCGAAGAGAGGTTGCACAGGCATGTGCGTGCATGTGCCGATGACAAATCTGCGATTCTCGAACACCTCCCGCATGTGCACGCATGTGCGCGCATGTGCGTCGGACTGTGCGTGCATGTGCGTATGATGGATACATCAAAACACAGCGCACATGCCCCCGCACATGCCCGGGCACGACGTGCACAGTAGGAAGTCCATCCAAGAAGGACCGCACAGGCCTGGCACATGACTGGCACATGCCGCGCACATGCGCGCACATGACAGCGCGAAAACGGCCGCACATACACCCACCCAGGGGTATAGATGTGAGTGCGGTGTATTGTAGGCCCCCATCCAATGACCTGTGTGTTTTTCAATTGAATGGCGTCTCCCGGGGCTCACACCTGGAATTTTTGCCCGGGCAACTCACGGGGCTCAAACTGGTCCTGGCGCCCAGTGTGTATATAGTATAACAGCATCTGCTGTCGCCGGATAGTTCCTTACAGTTCATTCCCAAATCCCGCTGTCGCGCGGGATTTCTTCACTATCCATGTACGCATCGCGCTCTCGCATGGGACTTCCTCGCAGTTTGTTTTTACGATCCACCCTCGGCTTTCAGGAATCACGCTCCCGCCTTGGCTTCTCTCGCAATTTACTTTGGAAACGCGCTATCGCTCGAGACTTCCTCGCGATTCATGCAGGACCCACGCTTCAGCAACCCGCCTGCTCGACATGGTCGCCTGGGCCCGCCTTCCCGACCTGCCCGCTATGGGTCTGCCCACCCGATCTGCCCGTCTGATTATATCACTTGTTTTCTGCTCCTTGCCCCTTTCCTGCTGATTCCTCTCGTGTTCCATTATTCTCCCTCCCCCTTCCACCCTTCCTCTCTTCCCTTGATTTAGGGGCGTCACACAATACCCGTGGAAGGTAAAAAAGATAGACCCTCAAGGGGGTACGATCGAAGACGACGAGGGCGGGTACCGAAGGTATGGGATATACGTATTGATTGGCCCGCGAGCAGATGAGTGTGTTTGTTGTTGATCTCTCACTCCTGAACGATAACTCTTGTTGATCCTCCGGTGACCATTGCGCTTTTCAGTTGAAGTGCCTCCCCAAGGCTCGCATCCTTATATTTCTTATCAAGGCAAATCACGGGGCTCAAACTGGGCCCCTGGCCCCCCGCTTATTGTTGTTGATGTTGAATTCCCATTACTGAAGAATACGTATTGTTGATCCCCGTTCTGGTGCACTTTCTACTTTTCCAATTGAAGTGCCCCTCCTGGCGCTCGCATCCTGTTTTCTATAAGGGAAGGCTTTCCTCCTCGGCCCCCGGCCCCCGGGTTACAACAACGACTCCCGCCTGAGACGTCCTCACAATTTGGCTAGGACCCCCGCTTCCGCATACGACTTCCTCGCGTGTTATTCAGGAATCGCGCTCTCGCTTGGGACTTCTTTACCATGTATTCAGGAAACGTTCTCCCGGCGCTCTGGAATCGTGCTCTCGCTGGAGACTCGCTTGCAATGTACTAAAGAATTCGCCGCAATGTGCTCCAGCGTTACTTAGGAATCGGGATCTCGATGCCCTTCGTGGCTTCGTTGCAGCCCTTCGTGGCCCCCTCGCTGCCCTTCGTGGACCTGTTACAGCCGTTCGTGGCCCCCTCGATGCCTTTCGTGGCCCCGTTGTAACCCTTCGTGGCCCCTTTGCTGCCCTTCGTGGACCCGTTGCAGCCCTTCGAGGCCTGTATCGACGATTCAAGCTCGATGTTCCCACCCAGAGCAGGTCACATGGTAGTTTTCGGTCCTGCACTTGGGCCTCGGGTGGCCGTTCGGGGCTATGCGGGGAACCTCCAGGACGCGTTCGGCGACGCGCAACTGCTGGAGAGCATGCGAGGCTGGAAGACCGCCGGTACCAACGGACGAGCGGCGAATATATCCATACCCGCGACCTCGCGGTCTGGATTCCAGGCCGCGATCCCGCGAGGAGCACCCGTGAAAAAACGCCCCGTGCCCGCGGGGTCGCGACCCTGGCCCAGAACCTGACCCGCGAGGCCACGGATACGGATGGGAGGGAGGCGTGGCAAGGAGAGGCGGCATCGAATCGGAAATCGGATGGCATCGAAATCTGCGTTGGATCGGGTTGCGTCGGCATGGAGTCGAAACCGAATCGGATCTGGATCAGCTGCGCCAAAATCCGCATCGGGCCGCATCGGCTCGTCCAGACATCGGAATCGAAGCGGATCGGCCCGTCCAGAATCGATGTCGAATCGGATCGATCGGGTGGAGGAGCCCAATGGCGCGTTGCCCCGGCCCACCCCGGCCGCGTGGACTGGCGCCCGCATCACGACCGCAGGGGCCACCGCCGGCTGCCCAGCCGCAGCGCCCTTCGGCGCGGCAGCGGGGGCGGGCACCTGCGCGGCGGGGACCCCGCGCCTCCTCCTCCTCCTCCTCCTCCTCCTCCTCCTCCTCCTCCTCCTCCTCCTTCTCCTCCTCCTCTCCTCCTCTCCTCCTGCTCCTCCTCCTTATTCCCCTCCTCCTCCTCCTCCTCCTCCTCCTCCTCCTCCCCTCCTCCTCCTCCTCCTCCTCCTCCTCTCCTCCTCCTCCTCCTCCTCCTCCTCCTCCTCCTCCTCCTCCTCCTCCTCCTCCTCATGCGCGCGAGCAGGAATTACCATGAAGTGCCAGGAATTGTCCAGCGAGAGCCCTGCTTTCAAATGGCCCACTCCCATCTACGCCATTGTGGCACCAATGTGGTGACATTCTATGCCGGTCAACCTCCAAACGATCTAACGGCCACAACACATTGAACAAGACGCAATGTGAGAGATCTGATGCCTGAACCGTGTAGCTGTTTAAAACACGTAAAAATAATGTGCCGGCTGACATGGCGAGAGCCACACATTCTGTTCCTCGCGCCATCCAACCGTGGAAGTCGTGGAATTGGTATGTTATGAATACGTGCGCCGCGCTGACATGTTGAAGACAGCGCTATATCATATATCAGTACGAATGTCGGAATTTCTAAGCTTTCGACTCGTAGCTCCTCGCAAGTCTCAGACACGTCTGGAGAGTGCGATGGGGAGGGAGTTCTGCAAAGGGACTAGGTGGAGGGGGCGGCCAAGCTCATCTTCCCTGCCCCCATCCACATCGTACTACCCATCTGGGGCAGCATCGGCGTGCGGGGAGCGATGGGGATATGAGCAGAGCGAGCAGTGGAGGAGACGAAAGAAAGGAATTTGTCGGCCAGAGTGGCGGGAGGGGCAGGAGCGGCACGACGGCGAGTTGGGGAAGCAAGAGGAGAAGAAATGGGGAGGAGGAGCAACGGACGACTGACGAGGGGGAGGGAGGGAGGGGGCAGGGTAGGAGGACAGAGGGCGGAGGGGCAAGCAGGGGGGAGGGAGGAGGAGAGGAGGACGGAGGAGGGACGACGGGGGGCTTGCCAGGTCGGTGCAGCGAGTTTCTCCGATCACCCCCCCGCGTCGGTGGCAACTCATGGGAGCCTCCCATACCTTCCTGCTCGCCCTTGCGAATCGACGACCACCGTCACTAATCATCGCTACATCGAGTCATCGAGGCTAATCGACGCTATACGGTGCTAAATCGGCGCTGTCTCATCGACTACCACACGCTAGTCGGCGTGAGTGCAGTCTAGAGACGGCATTGCGAGAACATACGAGGCTGCCATGACCTGCTACCGACCTTGGGAGGAACTCGAAAACATTCAGAAATCACAATGAAACCCGTACGCCCCCGCAACAGGAAGTCTGAGGTGGTGCAGAGCCTTCAGGTTGGGTGGGGGTGGCTTGGTAAGTACACCTCCTTGGAGCCGTCGCTAACCGACGCTCGTCGAAGCTAAATCGACGCCAAGTCGGCGCGTGTCATTGATTGCCAAACGCTAGTTGACGCTATAGCATGGTAAAGACGGAATTGCGAGGGTATACGAGGCTCCCACGAATTCTTACCGATCATGCTGGACGGCGCGTCAATTTCGGGTGGGGAGGCACTCGAAAACATATGAACAATACACTGGAACCCGTACACCCCACGACATGAAATTTAAGGTGGCCTGGGGCAGTCAGGTTGGGCGATGGGGGTCTTGGTGAGGAGTGGGATCTCCCCCTCTGTGAAGCAAAAACCAAGTCCACACCACGACGCGAACGGGATGCAGACGTGAACTGATATGATGCTCGTTCTGTTGATTCGATCCCCCTTCCTTGGAGGCGGCCAGGAGGTCTGAGCTGGTTGGGGCCCCAGAAAACCTTTCAGGAGGGGGAATGGGCCAACTCCGTCCCCAATCCCCGCCCAGGGTCCATTGGGTGCAATTTTCCACCGTGGACCGTGGAACCGTTGTCTCAGGGGGCCAAAACGCCCTGGGAAGCGGAAACTGGCAAAACACCTTCCCGAACCAAGCGCTCCGAACATACCCACCCTCACTGCTGCCCAGAACCAGTGCTGGGCCTCCTCCGCCTCCCAGACGGCTCCAGCCCCCCACTCCACGTGGCCTGCACTGGCGCCCGAGCCACGACGACGCGCGGCGCCGCCACTGGCGCCACCGCTGCGGCACCCGCCGGCGCCAAGGGCGCCGCCTGCGGGAGCGGCCCCCCCCTCCCGCTCGTGCGCCACCCGTGCCCAGTGCGAGACGAAGCCAGGACGAGGGCAAGATCGGGTGAGGGTACATCGGGCGGGTGGTAAAGGGGGACGGCCTACATGGGAGGCGAAGACAAAGGCCCGAAAGGGGCCCCTGCAGGAGGTTGAGGAGTCGAATCCCCCCACTCCGATTGTAAGGTTGTTGATTTCTTGTTGGCGGGGCGTCGTTTGCTTGCTGCTGGTGCCGGCGCGGTGCACCCGCTCAGCTCTTCCTCTGCGTGGCTTCCCCTCTCTTTGTTTCATTGTTTCTTCTCTTTTTTCCCAACCATCCTGTGGTGTTGGGTCCTCGTTTTGAAGAGACGGTGGCCCGCGTCTCTCCTCCTCTCCTCCTCCTCCCCCTCCTTCCTGCCCCCTCCTCCCACCATCATCATCGTCATCATCATCGTCGTCATCACCCATTTCGGCACACCCCTCACACGCTTCGTGGCCCCATAGGGAGCTCCGCCGAAGGTCCAAGTGGGTGTGCTCGCATGCGTCCCGCACACCCATTTCGGCACACCCCTCACACGTTTCGTGGCCCCATAGGAGCTCCGCCGAAGGTCCCAGTGGGTGTGCCCGCATGCGTCCCGCACACCCATTTCGGCACACCCCTCACACGCTTCGTGGCCCCATAGGAAGCTCCACCGGAGGTCCCAGTGGGTGTGCCCGCATGCCTCCCGCACACCCATTTCGGCACACCCTGCGCACGTTTCGTGAGTCCATAGGGAGCTCCACCGAAAGTCCCAGCGGGTGTGCCCACATGCGTCCCGCACACCCATTTCGGCACACCCTTCACACGCTTCGTGGCCCCATAGGGAGCTCCACCGAAGGTCCCTGTGGGTGTGCCCGCATGCGTCCCGCATACCCATTTCGGCACACCACTTACACGTTTCGTGGCCCCATAGGGAGCTCCACCGAAGGTCCCACTGGGTGTGCCCGCATGCGTCCCGCACACCCATTGGGGCACACCCGTCACACGCTTCGTGGCCCCATAGGAAGCTCCACCGAAGGTCCCACTGGGTGTGCCCGCATGCGTCCCGCACACCCATTGGGGCACACCCGTCACACGCTTCGTGGCCCCATAGGAAGCTCCACCGAAAGTCCCAGTGGGTGTGCCCGCATGCGTCCCGCACACCCATTTCTGCACACCCCTCACACGTTTCGTGGCCCCATAGGGAGCTCCACCGAAGGTCCCAGTGGGTGTGCCCGCATGCGTCCCGCACACCCATTTCGGCACACCCCTCGCACGTTTCGTGGCCCCATAGGGAGCTCCACCGAAGGTCCCTGTGGGTGTGCCCGCATGCGTCCCGCACACCCATTTTCGGCACACCCCTCGCACGTTTCGTGGCCCCATAGGAAGCTCCACCGAAGGTCCCAGTGGGACAGTCCGCATGCGCCCCCACGACACACACACACACACACACACACACACACACACACACACACACACACACACACACACACACACACACACACACACACACACACACCACACACACACACACACACACACACACACACACACACACACACACACACACACACACACACACACACACACACACACACACACACACACACACACACACACACACACACACACACACACACACACACCACACACACACACATTTCGGCACACCCCTCACACGCTTCGTGGCCCCATAGGAGCTCCGCCGAAGGCCCGTGTGGGACAGTCCGCATGCGTCCCCGCACACCCATTTCGGCACACCCCTCACACGTTTCGTGGCCCCACAGGAGCTGGCGGCAGCACTTGAGCCCTCGGTGGGGCTCCCCATGGAGCCACGAAGCGTGTGAGGAGTGTCCCGAAATGGGTGTGCGGGACGCATGCGGGTGGCAGCACTGGAGCCCTCGGCGGAGCTCCCTATGGGGCCACGAAGCGTGTGAGGGGGGTCCCGAAATGGGTGTGCGGGACGCATGCGGGCGGCAGCACTGGGGCCTTCGCCGGTCCAATCGGCGCGGGCTTTCGATGGAGTTCCCTATGGGCGCGGGCTCCTGCTCCTCCTGCTCCTCGTCATTGTGCCCCCTTCTCTCCGCTTTGAGGCGATACGCACAAATCTAGTTGTGAACGCAGCTGCACAAATACTCTTGCGAGGAACCTCCCGCTACGAATCACTACTCGCAGAACTAATTGTCAACGGCGCTCCACAACTAGTTTTTCCCAACCATCCTGTGGTGTTGGGTCCTCGTTTTGAAGAGACGGTGCCCGCGTCCTCTCCTCCTCTCCTCCTCTCCTCCCCCTCCTTGCCTCTGCTCTCGGCACACCTCTCACGCGTTTCGTAGCCCCATAGGGAGCTCCACCGAAGGCCCCAGTGGGGGTGTTCGCATGCGGTTCCCCCACCCAGGGCAGCGTTTCGTGGCCCCATAGGGAGCTCCACCGAAGGCCCCACCGGTTCCCAGTAGCCCCAGCTGGGGGTGTTCGCATGCGGTTCCCCCACCCAGGGCAGCGTTTCGTGGCCCCATAGGGAGCTCCACCGAAGGCCCCAGTGGGGGTGTTCGCATGCGGTTCCCCCACCCAGGGCAGCGTTTCGTGGCCCCATAGGGAGCTCCACCGAAGGCCCCAGTGGGGGTGTTCGCATGCGGTTCCCCCACCCAGGGCAGCGTTTCGTGGCCCCATAGGGAGCTCCACCGAAGGCCCCAGTGGGGGTGTTCGCATGCGGTTCCCCCACCCAGGGCAGCGTTTCGTAGCCCCATAGGGAGCTCCACCGAAGGCCCCAGTGGGGGTGTTCGCATGCGGTTCCCCCACCCAGGGCAGCGTTTCGTGGCCCCATAGGGAGCTCCACCGAAGGCCCAGTTCCCCCACCCAGGGCAGCGGTGTTGGCCCCAGTGGGGGTGTTCGCATGCGGTTCCCCCACCCAGGGCAGCGTTTCCCCATAGGGAGCTCCACCGAAGGCCCCAGTGGGGGTGTTCGCATGCGGTTCCCCCACCCAGGGCAGCGTTTCGTGGCCCCATAGGGAGCTCCACCGAAGGCCCCAGTGGGGGTGTTCGCATGCGGTTCCCCCACCCAGGGCAGCGTTTCGTGGCCCCATAGGGAGCTCCACCGAAGGCCCCAGTGGGGGTGTTCGCATGCGGTTCCCCCACCCAGGGCAGCGTTTCGTGGCCCCATAGGGAGCTCCACCGAAGGCCCCAGTGGGGGTGTTCGCATGCGGTTCCCCCACCCAGGGCAGCGTTTCGTGGCCCCATAGGGAGCTCCACCGAAGGCCCCAGTGGGGGTGTTCGCATGCGGTTCCCCCACCCAGGGCAGCGTTTCGTAGCCCCATAGGGAGCTCCACCGAAGGCCCCAGTGGGGGTGTTCGCATGCGGTTCCCCCACCCAGGGCAGCGTTTCGTGGCCCCATAGGGAGCTCCACCGAAGGCCCCAGTGGGGGTGTTCGCATGCGGTTCCCCCACCCAGGGCAGCGTTTCGTAGCCCCATAGGGAGCTCCACCGAAGGCCCCAGTGGGGGTGTTCGCATGCGGTTCCCCCACCCAGGGCAGCGTTTCGTGGCCCCATAGGGAGCTCCACCGAAGGCCCCAGTGGGGGTGTTCGCATGCGGTTCCCCCACCCAGGGCAGCGTTTCGTAGCCCCATAGGGAGCTCCACCGAAGGCCCCAGTGGGGGTGTTCGCATGCGGTTCCCCCACCCAGGGCAGCGTTTCGTGGCCCCATAGGGAGCTCCACCGAAGGCCCCAGTGGGGGTGTTCGCATGCGGTTCCCCCACCCAGGGCAGCGTTTCGTAGCCCCATAGGGAGCTCCACCGAAGGCCCCAGTGGGGGTGTTCGCATGCGGTTCCCCCACCCAGGGCAGCGTTTCGTGGCCCCATAGGGAGCTCCACCGAAGGCCCCAGTGGGGGTGTTCGCATGCGGTTCCCCCACCCAGGGCAGCGTTTCGTGGCCCCATAGGGAGCTCCACCGAAGGCCCCAGTGGCGGTGTTCGCATGCGGTTCCCCCACCCAGGGCAGCGTTTCGTGGCACCATAGGGAGCTCCACCGAAGGCCCCAGTGGCGCAGTTCGCATGCGGTTCCCCCACCCAGGGCAGCGTTTCGTAGCCCCATAGGGAGCTCCACCGAAGGCCCGCCCCGGTGGCGCAGTCCGCATGCGGTTCCCCCATCCAAGGCAGCGCTTCGTGGCCCCATATGGAGCCCCACCGAAAGCGGCACCCACAACGCGTTACCAACAATTGCTTATGGTTGGGTCTTTCGCCAGGATATTGTGAGTAATGAGTTCCTCCTCGTCATCGTCATGCTGCTCACCCTCCTCTTCTTCCTTCCCCTGCTCCTCCTGCTCCTCCTGCTCCTCGTCATTGTGCCCCCTTCTCTCCGCTTCGAGGCGATACTCACAAATCTAGTTGTGAACGCAGCTGCACAAGTAGTCTTGCGAGGAACCTCCCGCTACAAGACACGACTCGCAAAACTAATTGCGAACGACGCTCCACAACTAGTTCTGTAAGTAATGAGTTCCTCCTCGTCATCGTCGTGCTGCTCACCCTCCTCTTCTTCCTTCTCCTGATCCTCCTGCTCCTCGTCATTGTGCCCCCTCCTCTCCGCTTCGAGGCAATACTCACAATTCTAGCTGTGAACTCAGCTGCACAACTAGTTTTGCGAGGAACCTCCCGCTACAAGACACTACTCGCAAAACTAGTTGTGAACGGCGTTCAACAACTAGTTTTGTGAGTAATGAGTTCCTCCTCGTCATCGTCATGCTCCTCACCCTCCTCTTCTTCCTCCTCCTGCTCTTGCTCCTCCTGCACCTCGTCATTGTGCCCCCTTCTCTCCGCTTCGAGGCGATACTCACAAATCGAGTTGTGAACGCAACTGCACAACTAGTTTTGCGAGGAACCTCCCGCTACAACACAATTCGCCATATAATGATTCCTAGTGAAATTATCAACAGAAGGATTCGCGTTGAAACCCTTCACAGAAGGATACTTAGGTGGATGAGAGGGAAGAGAAGGAGGAATATGA